CCAGGATAGAATTTAAAACCCTGCTTTTAACATATAAAACTCTCAATGACCAGCTCCATGTTACCTTAAAAACTTTATTGTACCGTATCATCCCAACAGAGCCCTTTGTTCTCAGTCTGCAGGTCTACTTGTGGTTCCAGAGTTTCCAGAAGTAGTGTGCTGTCATTGAAGTTGATGTGTGTAAGTTGATTAAAAACATAAGTTCAATAAGTTAAAAAGTAGGATTAAAAAGTTAAAAAGTTGTTTTTTGTCGTTCTTTGAAAATCTGTCAGAGCTGTAGGAGTTGATCAGAGATGAAATGGACTGTGACGTGGACTCTGTCAAGTTTTACACTGACAGCAGGATTGTGCTTGGGTCCATACATAACACCACGAGAAGGTTCTACATGTATGTTTCCAACAGAGTAACTCAGATTAGAGCATCCACACACCCTAACCAATGGTATTATGTGCCTACAAACCTGAACCCTGCAGACCATGCTACCAGGTTCATAGAAGCAGCTGAATTCCAGCACAGCAACTGGTTTTCAGGTCCACCCTTCCTCTATTCAGACAAAGCAGCAGAGACACCCGAAGCAAATAATTTCAGTCTACACAAGCCTGACGCTGACAATGAGATTTGTCCTGAGGTTGCTACTCTGGCAACCAAGACATTAGAGTCTCAGTTAGGCTCACAACACTTTGAGCGGTGCTCAAGCTGGAGCACACTCTGTCGAACCATAGCTCGACTTATTCATGTTGCTGCATCCTTCAAAACAAGAACTGACGAGGAAAAATGGGAAGGATGGAAATGCTTCCAAGAAAAACCCAACACAAGTGAGCTTTCAAAAGCCAAAGTTGTGATTATTCGTTCTGTACAGCACAAAGCGTTCAATGAGGAATTCAAATGTAGGCAGGCAGACATGCAGACACACACTAGAGAAACTCAATCCAGCTGTAGATAAAGATGGTCTGCTGCGTGTTGGAGGTCGTCTTTCTTCAGCTGACCTGTCAGAAGAAGAAAAGCATCCGCTGATTATTCCACACACTCATCACATTGTGACATTACTCGTGAGACATTTCCATGAACAGGTGGCTCACCAAGGATGGCATATTACAGAAGGAGCTGTCCGGGGTGCTGGATACTGGATAATTGGCAGTAAGCGCTTAGTGTCTTCCATCATCCACAAGTGTGTCACCTGCTGCAAACTGCGTGGTAAGCTAGAGGACCAGAAGATGGCAGATTTGCCAGCAGACAGACTGACTCCTGAACCTCCATTCACCACTGTCGGCCTTGATGTACTTGGTGTTAGGATGGTATGTTTGTTGTGTTTTTGCTTGTTTTCTTTGCCTTGGTGTGTGGTGGGCGTGTTTTTCCTGTTCTCCCTGCAGGCTGGGCGGAGCCAACCTGAATGAGACAATCAAGCGCTGACAGCTGCGGCACATCATCTCATCAGCAGCCAGCCGTACAAATACGGGCAGCTCACAGACCTTCAGCGCCAGATGATTGTGATTCCTCACTGTGGTACAGTCAGGCCACTTAGCAGCAACCTCTCGAGTAACATCAAGCTAAGTCTACTATTTTTTGAGTGTCTCTAGTTCATGGTTTTTCTCCTCTGCATTTCCAGCGTCTCGTCTCGGCTCCAGCTCGTCCTCCTCCCCACACGCCTGCCGCTTCTTCTCCCTTGAGCACACTTCACACGGACACGAGCACCTTCACCCGACGGATCTCCGTTCGAGCATCTGCACAGGGAAGATCTTCACGGGAAACGGATTCGCACCAGCACCGCTCCTAGAGCACAGCACCTCCACCTACCACCTGGGATCTCCACCACGACACCCCCACTGGATTCCTCCACCGGGACACTCTCACTTCCCCCTCCCCTGTTAAATAAATCGTTTCCTTTAACATTTTCTCCTGCCTCCCTTTTTCGTTGGGTCCGCCCGCACAGATTCTGAGACTCGGGTCGTCACACTTGGGCCGTGGACTATTACGACACGTCGCACAAGAGGAGGAAGTGCGGAGAGCAAACGATGGGCAGTGCTCTTTACATGCTTGTTAACTAGAGCAGTACATATTGAACTGATTGAATCCATGTCAACAGTTTCATTAATGCCTTGTGGAGATTCTTCGCTGTTCGTGGTCCAGCGAAACTCCTGCGGTCTGACAGAGGGACGAACTTTGTTGGAGCTTGCAATGAGATAGGTGCAGACACAGACGACACAGTGATGAGGAAGTACCTCCAAGAGAAAGGATGCTCCTGGGTGTTCAATCCTCCTCACGCTTCTCACATGGGAGGCTCCTGGGAGCGACTCATTGGGGTTGCCAGATGCAATGCTGCTTCAGAAAAGGCCAACACGGCTCACACATGAAATCTCGAGCACTTTCATGGCAGAGGTGATGGCTGTCATGAATGCAAGACCTCTTGTGTCCATCTCCACGGACCCAGACAATCCTGAAATCCTTACCCCCATGATGCTTCTTACTCAGAAGATGAGTGCTGTTTCAGCCCGTTCTGGAAACTTTGCCTCAGCTCAGCTGTTTGGAAAGCAGTGGCAGCAAGTTCAGTGTCTCGCGGACACATTCTGGAAGAGATGGAAAGAAGAGTTTTTGTCTACCCTACAGAGTCGCAGGAAATGGACAAAAGACAAACCAAATGTCGAAGAAGGAGATGTTGTCATACTGAAAGACAATCAGGTCCCCAGAAATGAATGGCCAATGGGACTGGTTGTTAAGACTTTGCCAAGCTGTGACAAAAAGGTCAGAAAGGTTGAAGTGCAGGTTGTCAAGGATGGGACAGCCAAGGTGTTTCTAAGGTTGGTCTCTGAGATCGTAGTCCTTCTTTCAGAGACATAATGAAAAGACTCATGTTGTCAAAGAACAGCAACCTTTAAGTTTGTTTATATCTGTACTGACATAGTGCAGTGATATAATTTAATTATATAAAGCGGAGAGTGTGCTGTCTTTGAAGCTGATGTGTGTAAGTTGATTAAAAACATAAGTTAAATAAGTTAAAAAGTAGGATTAAAGTAGTAATCCTACTTTAAAGTAGTAAAGTAGTAGTATTATTATTAAGTTAAAAAGTTGTTTTTTGTAGTTCTTTGAAAATCTGTCAGAGTGAGCTCTCTGCGCGTTGTATTTGGTTTTTGAATTTGCGGCAGAGTGAGCCATGTTACCAATACATTGTGAATTATCTTTGATTCTCCGTCATCTCCATGAAGAGAGTTCGACTTGTAGCGACTATCAGTAGCATAACGGAGCTTCACGGCATCGCTAAATTGTTCATACATGCTTTTGCCTTGGAAAATATTTGCCTTTTTACAAGACGTTCGAAAGCTACAAAAGAACAGTAAATGCCAAGGAAAGCAAGCCTTGTGTGTTTATTGACTACAGCTCGAGCATGTTAACTGGCTGTCTGGCAGTGCAAAGCTGACGCATTGTGAGGGCAGCACAAGTAGAATAGGAGGCAGAGCCTTCAGTCATCAGGCTTCTCTTTTATGGAATCAGCTCCCAGTTTGGATTCGGGAGGCAGACACCCTCTCTACTTTAAGATTAGGATTAAAACTTTCCTCTGTGATAAAGCTTATAGTTAGGGCTGCTCAGGATCACCCAAACTGTCCCTTAGTTATGCTGCTATAGCTTTAGACTACTGGAGGATTCCCATGATACACTGAGCTCCTCTCCTCTCTCTTCCTTCCATACAGTTAGAATCACCATTACATGTCACTAACTCTGTGTTTCCCCCGAGGTCCTGTGCTTGCTCTCTCTGTGGATGTCCCTGACCTGCAGCCACCGGCCTTACCGACCCCCAAAATACTTTATTGTTATGTTCTATTGCTGCTCTCCATCTGCTATCCTGTTTTCCCATCCCTCTCATCCCCACTCTCATCCAGTCATTCAAGACGGATGACCTCCTTCCCTGAGTCTGGTTCTATCAGAGGTTTTTTTCCCCCCTTCCCTTGGCGAGATTTTTGGTTCTTTCCCACCGTTGCCAACTGCTTGCTCAGAGGGAGTCCAAAGGCTACTCTGTTTAAATTGGTCAGGTCCATACCTTACTATGTAAAGCACTATGTGATGACATATGTTGCAAACTGCGTTATACAAATAAAATTGAATTGAAATGAACATAAATTCTTAAACTCAGTGGACTCATTTTCTAATTTTTTCGTATTTCTAACACTCACATCTAAGGCTTCAATTTCTCTCAGACTGTCTCATGCCTCCAAGTCTGTGTCTATAAATGCAGATTGTCAGCTTCTTTTCACTGACTTTATTTACCAGCTGTGGCAATAAATAGCAGCTGGACCCGCATTGTCTCCACATTGACAGATTTGTGTGCAATTGCTTGCAAAGCAGCAGTGACCTCATTCATTATTTCAGTCTTTCTGATACATTATTGAGATGTGATTGTAGCCTTATTCTTTAATCGTAGCAACTCGACTTGCTTGAGTTTCTTGAAACCAGTTGTTACGATTAAACTACGTGAACAACTGTGACATGGATGACTGAGAACCTTCACACACTGATTGTAGCCTTATTTAGTTCAATTGTATTTTATTTGTATAGCACAGTTTACAACATATGTCATCTCACAGCACTTGACATAGTTAGGTATAGACCTTACAAATTTAAACACAGAACCCAACAATCCAAAGTAGCCTTTGGACTCCCTCTTAACAAGCAGTTGGCAACAGTGGGAAGGAACCAAAAAATAAATAAATAATGGGAGGAAAAAACCTCAGACAGAACCAGGCTCAGGAAAGGAGGCCTGAGGTTTTTACCAAAGAGATCAATAAGGCTGTATCTATCTATCTATCTGTCTGGATTGGTCGGGGTCTAAATTATTTTCTGCACAGCAAACAGCTGAACAGACGCACAGATTTTGTCTCAAGTTAAATAATTGGGGGAAAAGAATAAGTCATGCTCAGCATGAATTTAGGATCCTAACAGATGTTTGTATGTATAATGATCCATACATGTTTCATTTCTGATTAAGTCCAAAAATAATTTCAACTAGAGAGTCATAAGATTTTCTTTTATCTGGTGTATCAAGTGGACTATTACAGAAGCGGCTTTTCTGCAAATATAGCGAAACTTACACATCTGAACATTTCAGTAAAAAGAAAAAAGCAAGAGATAGTCAGTCTACAATTTACTGCCAACAAAATATTCCTTAATGTTACACATGGACAAGACTTTTGAGTTTCATAAACCATAAATTCAACACACACAAAACATCATGTAACACTACAGAACTTAGCTCTACGCACAAAGGATCCAAAATATTTTGATACACAGACGAAGCCTATAATGTCGCCTGTTTCCTAACAAAAGTGCATATAAACGGCTGGAATGCATTAGATGGTCAACAAACACTTGGCTCTTGTAGTCAACATGTTGGATGAAGGAGAAATGTGCAGGTGTAAGAATTTGAGAGACCTATTATGACCGGACAACTGGGACAAAGTATCTCAGAACTGGTCAGGCAACTAGGGCAAGTGGTTGAAAGAGAGACAAACGTGGTGCTACAGACATGTTTCAGTTTCATAGCCTGTGACTACCTATGACTCTGCATGTGACAATCTAAAGCAGACTTCTGACTGAAGCTGCAGTGACACGCTGGGCACTGATATGGTTTCTCCCCTGTGTGTTTCCTCATGTGAACCACCAGGTTGCCTTTCTGCGCAAATGACTTGTTACATTCTTGGCATTGGTAAGGTCTCTCCCCTGTGTGTATCCTTGTGTGATTGACCAGGTCTGACTTTTGACAAAAGTTCCTGCCGCAGAACTGGCACTGATAGGGTTTGTCCTCCGTGTGGATCTTTATGTGTCGTATTAAAGTCTTGGTCAAGGAGAAACATTTGGTGCAGCAAGGACACTTGTAGGGTTTCTGTGCAGTTCCTGCTTCAAATTGGATGATGAGCTCAGGAGATTTCCCTGAAGGCCTCCTCGGCAGGATATTTCTGACAGTAAGATGTTTTGGCTGCCTGTCCTCTGCCTCTTTTTCAGCTGGACTCACTGAAAGGAGACGCTGCTCATCAGCTCCACTGTCAGGTCCAGTTTCAGTTTTAATATGATCCACTGCAAATACTGCAGAGGAGTCTTTATCTATATCAGCAACAGTCTGGATTTGATAAAGACACAAGGGCTGCAGAGACTCCTGATCAAACTCACTCTTGTCATAGGGAGTGACAGCAAGTGGAAATGCCTTAACCCCAGCTTCATCTTGTCTCTGTTCCAGCTCCGAGTCCATCTTACTGACAGCTGTCACTGATCTGATGTGAGTTTTTGTTCCCAGCTTTTCACTAAAACACAAATAGGGTTTCTCCTCAGTGTGTTTCTGCCTGTGAATGAACAGGTTGTTCCTTTGGTCGAAACTCTTCTCACAGTCTTGGCACCGGTGTGGTTTGGCACCTTTATGTATCCTGGTGTGAATGATGAACTCAGACTTGTGGCAGAAGTAGCTGTCACAGAACTGGCACTGGTAAAACGAAGATTTGTCCTCCGAGTGCTTTTTAATGTGTCGCACCATTGTCTTCTTGGAAGAAAACCCACTGAGGCAAACAGAACATTTAAAGGGTTTCTTGACGCAGAGGGGTTTTTGGGGTGACCTCAAGTCACACTCTTGCTTCACATCGTCCTCTTCGCTGTCAGCTGGTGTGTCCTGATCACTCTGATCATTGTCGGTGGCAGGAAGAGTGTGTCGGTGAATGCTCTTAACACGGGGACAGTCTGTCAGCTCTGTGGACTGTGACATGATAGTGTTGTCTGGTTCCTCCCAGCACACACTAAAGTTGACTCTGGCAGGAGGCTGCTGCTGCACATCTGTGGCACACATCTGGATAGAGTCTGAAACAGAGGAGACTAGATGTATTCCACAGACCTGAATAACTGAAACTGCAATCAGACAGTTTTTAGGGTTCTTTTCTAAAGTGTAGCTTAACTGCAACACCTGGTGGTAGCTCACGATGTGCATCAAACACACTGTTTACTATGCAAGCATACAAGAACACAGCAACGGCTTCTTCACATAGATCAGAAATTAGTGGGAGATAATTCTATTGTAAAAAAAAAAACAAACTTGTGTCTTTTAATCTGCTCTCTATCACAAGTTCCTTTCTAAAACACAGCAACAACTCCTGATAAACTGACCTTCACTATGTGACTTGGCAACATCCAGCAGTCTGTGGTGGCTGTCCACCACCCACTTTGAACAGGACATTTCCTCTTCATACTCTATAATTGTCCTTTCTACAATCTTGAAGATCTCCTCGGCTGCCGCAGACAGACACTCACTGACGAGCGCTCTCAGCAGGTCCATCTTTGCTCTTCTCACCATGCTGAGGTCTTCATCAGTCCTGACAGCTCCACTCTTAGCTCTCTGTTGTCCTCAGATGCCACCTCACTCTTGCTGTCTGAAGAGATGGCATCTGATTCAGCTGTAGGATTCAGGACAAGAAAACCCATTGAACAGTATGTTGCGGTGGAACTATTCGGTCTATCTCTAACATAATCTCTGCTTTTGTGGCAGCCTTTGCATGAGCAGGAACTAGAGTGGAACAATTAATCAACATTTCAAATCAAACTCACAATCTGAAACAATCTAGTTAGCATATCACATACAATTCAGGATGCATGAGGTGTGGGAATGAAATAGTGGGACACTCGTCCTGCATATTTAACTGGAGAGTCGGTTTTAAGCCTGAGGTGACACTTCAGAGTTGTTGAAGCTGCCCTTTGACCGCGGTTTGAGATGTCCTGGTTCAGCCTGTAGGCTGTGGCTTGGACAGACATCAGGCCGGCCTCATCAGGCACCAGGGGGAGAAGCTCATGTGTCAATACTCTGGTCTCCTCGCCGTGGACATTAAATCATAGCACAGAGAATAACTGACCTGGAGCTTGACTTAAACAAATCAAATTTCACTATATGTCAGAAAAATCCCAATATTTGACCAATTTTTTCAGCCATAGTAAACACTGAGTTCATAAATAGTGGCAGGATTTTTTAAAAAAGCGCATACACAGCCTGAAATAAGAATATGAGTGAGGTTTTTGCTTCAGTTATTTCTCACATCTTACTTTGTTTGACTTGAGTCACTAAAGAACAAACTAAGTTTAAGTATAAAGAGCCTGTTCCTCCCAGCAGAACCGAGCAGCTCTCTGGAGGACCTGACAGGTTTTACCACTCATGTGGAGTCTCACAGCCTCTCCAGCTGTTCACACGTTCAAAACTAAACACATTTATTCCTCCGGTTCAAATCGCTCTTTGACATTTTCTCCACGTTTTTGTGCTTACCGTTGTTAGCCACCAAGGGAACACTGAAGTCCAACAACTTTTAGTGAAGTTTAGCGGCTCACAGCTGACCCCGCCTCATCTCCTCTGAACTACAGCCGTGCTGCTGCCGCTGTGTGTCCGCTGGGAGCTCAGTGTGTGTCCGCTTTCTGACCCACAGCAGCGCACTTAGCTTAGCTCACTTAGCTTAGCGTAGCGCCCTTAGCTTAGCTCGCTTAGCTTAGCTGGCTGACTTTCTCCAGGGGAGCAGTGAGAAGTCGGCTGCTGTATTCGGACGCTCTGCCGGACAGGCCTGCTGCTGGACACATCCAGGTGACCGCTAGCAGCTCCACCGCGAACACAGAGCAGGGTCACACTGACACCAGGCTAAAAACACAGCCGCTTCGGTGTCTTCTTCTGCCTTCACTGCCAGTGTTTGTGGCGGTAACATTAGCGCTCCCCTGCTGGCCGCCTCTCTCTGCGTGTTGAGTGCGGTGCTACAGCCTCCAGCCCTGCAGCCATCCTGGCATCACAGCAATAATAACCTACAGACAGTGTTCCAGCCTTCCTGGTTCAGCTTTCAGTCACGGTGCCCAAACTAATGTCAAAGCCTGTCAGGACTGAACCGGCTTTCTTTGCACACAGAACAAATTCTGAACACCTGGCATTTCCCACATTTCAGCACCAGCACTGATTCATAAACACAGACACCCAGAACTCTCTGAAATGACAAAACTCTCATTTAGTGTACAACTTTCATGTAAGCCGACTTTCTCCCTCATTCACATTGCGCTACAATTTCAACTTTATTATAGGAGGAAACTTACATAAAATACAGCTTTACTAGTCTGTACTCATATTTATGAGTCTTTAACAGGTTAGATCTGTAATCGATCAAATGTTTTGCCAAAACATCAAGGAGTATCCAGGCTTCCAGCTGTTTATAGGAGTATTAGACTCACAGCATTGGACAGCAGCAACGTCATTGTGGGCATCCAAAAAGGCAGATGGCAAGTTCCCTTAGGAACTAACAACAAACTACATTCTTCTCCTTTCTACAGACAGCTGAACTAGACAGAAAGTATTGGATAGCTAAATGTTGAAGTCCATCCATCCATTATCTATACACCGTTTGATCCTCAGTGGGGTCGGCAGGGGGCTGGAGCCTAGACTTGAGAGACAGACAACCAAGCACACTCACATTCACAACTACGAACAATTTAGAATCATCAATTAACCTCGACATGTTTTTGGACCTTGTGGGAGGAAGCCAGAGAACCCGGAGAGAACCCACGCTACACGAGGAGAACATGCAAACTCCACGCAGAAAGATCTCGGTGTCCTCACTGGGACGCGAACTGGCGACCCTCGTGCTGCGAGGCAACAATGCTAACCACTGAGGTACCTTGCAGCTAAATGTTGAAATACTGTAGATTTAGCTGAAAATTGACTGAAATAGCTGAAAGTAACAGATAATGAATTGAAAATGCAGCAAGTAAATTGTAAAGTGTTGAAAGCTTAAAGTAATGGTAGCTCACTATTCATAGTCAGTGGAACGTGATGGATAAATAGTTGAAATAGGCTAAACGAAAAATAGCTGTTTAGGAATGAGAAAACTCAAGCTCAAAGCAATGACTAAATGGCTGAAACAGCGCTAGTCATACTGAATACAAACCTGACCAAATGGGTTAAGCATTGTCAGTTCAACTGTCTGACAAAGAATTTGCATCAATTTAATACAACTTTGACAGAGTAGTGTATATTATTAGTGTTATATTCTGCTGAACCTGTTTGGAACATGGTGTGTTTGATGTATGTAAAAGAGTGTTTGAGTTCATCTGTGGGAAGAATGGAGATATTTTAAAAGTTTGGAAACCACTGCTCCAGTATTTTTGAACTTATCAACCTTCTTGCCCCCACATCTGAGAATGTGATGCTCCTCAAACTGTATTTTACAATTGTACATTTAAACAATGTTCTATTAGAATGTCTGTCAACATATTTAAAAAGCACATACTTCTTGTATATTAAGACAGAAACAGAAGAATCAAATTAACCCATGAAATACATGAAATACCACAATACCATGATAATGTATTGGGATACAGACAAGAGGCGCCCATTGCTGATCACTGTTTCACATGGTAGTTCATACATTTATTCCAAAAGTTTTTATGTATATCTGTTAGGTATAAAGGTGAAATTGCATGCATATTTTGCTGTTTTAATACAGATGTCAGAGGTCTGATCTATGACCTGTAGGGAAACACACAATTTATTTCAATTACATTTTATTTATATAGCACCAATCTACAACATATATCATCTCACAATCCAAAGTTCCCTTTGGATTCCCTGTGAGAAAGTGGTTGGCGACAGTGGGAAGAAACCTGAGTTTCATTGGGGTTGGCGTGGTTTTGGTGTGTGGATTATGGACCAAAGAAACATGCTCGATGTCGTCGTCATCTCAGAGGAGGACAAATGATGATTTGGACAGCTGTCTGTTTCCTACACGGCCTCTCCTTGCGAAGCACAGCTGAATGTCCCACCAAACTTTGCACACAAGTCCAGCGGGTGTATCACAGGAGAGGATATTGGATGCTGTAATAATTTGGATGTCGCTCTCACTTGTTTTAGGATGGTGGCAGCTCTGACTTTCTGTAACGCTTTATTACAGATTTGAGCACAGTGTTACTCGTTTTAAATTCAACGTCGGCAATGATGTTGAAGTGAGGGAAAAAACGGTTAAGAGCAGCTCTTGTGGACATCAAACTGGCTACACTGTAGTGTTTCCCTTCGTGAGACTGCACAGAAGCGTAAAATTCTCTCAAAGCTCAGCAGCTGATACATCTAAATCAACATTTCTTCCCTTCTCCTTTAGGAAATGTCTTAAAATTGTGACTGCCCATTTTGTTGTTTTTTCATGTTCTCTTCTTCTTTCTCGTCTTCAATCTTGTCCAGTTCGCCCGATGTTCAATCTTTATGTCGTTGCTTTTGCTGTTCTTCTCGTTTGCTCTCCTCCTCTTCCCATTCTTCATACGTTTTGTTTCGGCCAAAAATATTAAAATTAACCTCGAAATCCATGTTTTATCGCATTTCTCTCATTCACATGTCAAGACACAGCTGATCTGCGCCAGGTGATTTGCGCGTTGCTATGATGACGCCCAGAGCGGCGTGATATAATGGTGATTTAACTCGCCGAACTACGTGTGCGTATACACGGAAATAATGCACGCTAGTTAACCATAGAATTCTCGCTGACCATGGTATAACACTTGTTAATCTCTCCCCTTTGTCTCCTATGACCAATGTAAGAGCTAGACAAAAATACATAACATCAACACATTGAATTTAGCTGAGCACATTGCTAAAATTAGCCCATACTAAACATAAAATAAACTGATAATGAAACACAATTAAAGTTTTACCTTGTTGCCCTCTCGACTGCCGCTAAATTTATTAATCTCTCCCATTCACCCTTTTATGTTTGTTTTGTCTTTTAACTTTATGTTGCCGTTATGTTACCGTTGGCGTCGACCGTTATATTTTTTCAATTTCTGTAATTTCCATCTGATGTCCCTTCAAAAATCAAAGCACTTCTGATTTACATTAAATAACGAGATTAAAACATAAAACATTAATACATGACAGATTTAAGTTAACACATTAACTAATGAATTAGACTAATAACAACAACATTCAATAACTATTGAATAAGTAACATCTGAGTTACTTACAGACTGGTTACCTGTCCAGGTGAAAATGCCTTCACTCTGACTCAGCTGGGATAGACTCTGCCCACCACGATTTTGTTTGTCAATCAGCAACCTGTATCTCAAAAAACCTAACGTATCACATAATTACATAAAAAATAGTGGTGGGATGGGATAAATTTTGGTTGACAACTGAACCAATGAATAGACATATACATACACCAAACATGTTTATTTTTCATCTACATTTATCTGCATTTTTCATCTGTCTACTACATTCACAGATTAGTGCAAACTCAAAGTGCAATTATAGAGAATGTATTCAACATTTTGAGACTTTTTGTCTTAAAACTCTTTGTTGCACAATTTGCACACAATTGTGCTCTGATCTGCCTCATGCTATGTGTCCACAGGATCCATCCGCTACTTTTTCTGTGATTAATTAATCAAAATTAACGTGTTAAAGTCCCAGCCCTAATAATTAAACCAAAGTGAGGTTTTTGGGGGAGCTTAGCAAGCAAGCAAGCAAGCAAGCACAGGAGTGATCACAGAGGCAGGAATGAAGCTGACACTCCCCTGCTTCATGCATACAGTCAGACAGTAGCATCGGCAGTCATCCATGTACATGAATTGTACACAAGATGGAGCCATTCTCCTTCCATAGATTTTGTCCTGAGCTACCTCATCCATTGTCTCAAACATCTGTTATTACTCTGTGTTTGCTTACAAATTTCACTGGTATACTTTCAGGTAATTAAATAGAACACAGTTACACAGACTAATGAAGTGTTCAGTGTCAGATGATGTGTTAAGGATGTGATCTGGGCTATGGTGTCCAGCAACAATACTTCAGTAAAAGGAGAATCAGAAGTAGAAATGAAATAAGTTTGGGAAGTGTTTAGTCCCGTGCTTGTGTTTGTGAGCATAAATATAAGAATGATTTGTGAAGTGAACAGTGGAGCACTGTGGCTGTTCCTGTTGTTGTGGTGAGGGAGTTTCCAGCTCTGCAGCTCAGGGGAAACACCACAGGATGTCCTTTTCCTCATTCCTCAAGGATAGAATGACTACACGTGTGTGTGTGTGTGTGTGTGTGTGTGTGTGTGTGTGTGTGTTTCTATTAAATAATAGAAAGGGCAACATGTTTTCAATATGTCTGTCTTCTGTGGTTTCTGTCAGTTGCCGATGCCTCTAGTAAGCCTCCAGAAGACAAACAGCTCACACTGTAACCATCAGATTTCTTCTTCTGTATTGTCTGACTGATTACATCATTAATATATAATTGATCAATACTACATTGCTTTCATAGAGAAGCCCTTAAACTCAACTCTGTAATGTTTGCTTTGATAATATTAAATACATAACTAATTATAGTAACGTATGTTGCATATAGTTATATACGACTAAATATTAGCTAATATATTCAGTCAAAGCAGTAAGACTTATAAATAATAACAAATAATAGCGTTCCATGGTCAAACTCGTATCTTAAGTATTTTCGTACCTGTGCAATTCCAGGAACCTTGTGAAGCAGAAAAGTAGTCAAATCAATGGCACCAAAACTCATTTCTAAAGGGCATCTTCCAGGTTCTTCCAATTTAGATCTGAAAGTTGTTACATTGTGTCAGAACCAAAATTCAAATGAAGAACTGCATAAACAGTTTCTGTGCACGAGTCTCACTGAGAGATGTTTTTTGGAATTTCAAATCTCCAGCAGTTTTGGTGATATTTTCTTTTTCTTTGTAAGAAAACAAAGTATCGGCTTCAAGAATTTGACTTTTTCAATTTGTTTACTTGGCAATAAAAATGATTGCATGTGTGCATAAAGAAGGCTGCTCATGTTGTTGCCTTCGGTTCAGTCAGACACACAATCATATGTGGGCTTGGTTGAGAAAGAATTCCTACATTACGGTAACACAGATTTCATTGTTCAAATGCTCTTTTCCGAAATAATTTAAAGTCAGACACACAATGTTGTACACTAGGTGTGCACGATTATAACTTCAGGAAACACTTATGTGTTTTTTTTGCAGATATCTAACACACAAATTCAGACTTGGTTAAGCAAATATTTGATTCACTGTCAGGTTAACTGGTGAGATCGAGAGTCACAGCAAGTTTGCTAACAAAAAAACTCAAGTTCAGCAAGAATTGCAATGATCAGACAGGGTGTGAAAACCAATCAGGTTAGCCAGACTCATTTAAAAGAGAAAGCTAAGATGAAAAGTGAAAAATCATAAATTGTCATCTATAAACATCAGTCTGAAGCCCACTGCTTCATGTTACCATGTTTCCAGATCCCAGCCAGGACTGTATTAATTACATTTTTATCATATAATATAGAAATAATGCAAATATGGCAATAAACTGTCATTTTAAATAGCAGTATTTAGTTTTTGATGATGATACACAACATTATATTATGTCTTTAGTGAGGAGTTAAACATTAGACATGACACATTGATTCAGAATCATATTTTGTCACCTCGTAAATACATCATTCCAATATGCACGGTGGTTTGACCTGCTCTGAGGGGAGGAGCTTAGCCTCTGTATTTAACAGCAGAGTTCCCTGTGTATTTGTTTCTTTCGTCTGTCTGCTTTTTGGTGCATTGAAAGTAGTGTATAGTTTGTTTTTCACTGGAAATATGGCTGATAAAAGCAATGGAAATGATGCAAAACAGTTCTGTGCTGTAAAACCCAAACAGTGAACTAAAAGATGATAAAATACTGGATAGCAGTGGATCTGTGTAACAGTGGGCGATAACCCAGGTAGACAAACTGGTTTGAAACAAAATTGGCACAAATCCGGCAGACCAGAAGAAATAACTTGGCTTAAGTGTGGATTTACAGAATTACGGCACAGGATCATCAACTATATTGGCCCGAGTCAAGATGCTGAAACTGAGAGAGCAGACAAAAACGTATTGGGCAATATTTTTCATTTCAAAATTTAACTCTGCCTCTTCACTATAAAGCCCTTTGTCAGTGTTCTTCTTTTCTTCTTCTCCTTGTTATTATTATTATATTATTGCACAGTCATTTGTTCCACTGTATATGTTATATTATGTGTTTTACTCCACAAACACAAAAGAACCTTAAACCCATTGATGGATGTGACTGTTATGATGTCAACAATGGCTGTGTTGTGACGCAGGGACTCAACTGGCTGTCAGTATCCTTCCTCCACTGACAGTTTACCAACACCACTCATCAATGGAGGTGCATGAAGCTCATAGGCACTAAGAGAGAATGAGTGTGACAGCTGCTGGGGGAATCCTACTACGCTACCAGGTCACATGGTGCACACTGATCCCTCCACCCCTCCCCTACACTCTGTCTCTCACTAATGCTGTGTACAGTGTGGGAGGGCAAAAAAGCGGGAGGGTTTTAGAGGAAGGAGGAGGAGGAGGAGGAGGAGGAGGAGGGGAAGCAGCTGAAAGAGAGAGCAGAGCCAACGAGAGGAGGAGGAGGAACAGGAGAGACAGTGAGCGGGGTGAGCCCAGATTACAACCAAAGCAGGAGCGTGCAGGACAGAAATAAAGGGATCCCAGCTCCTCTGACACATTCTTTGCTTGGCTCAGTTGAAAAGGAGAAAAACACCACGCAGGCTGTTGTCAGACAGAGTGGGAAAGAGGAGGAAGGAAAAAGAAGAGGAGGAGCAGGAGTGCTGTGTTTCTAAGAGCAAGCGTTTCAGGGGACGGTGCTGTCACAGAGAGGAGGAGGTACTGGTGTGTGTGTGTGAGCGTTTGCAACACATCAGCGACACTAAGGTGTGTGTGGTGTGAAGTGAAGCCCCAGTTACCCCCTCATCCAGCAGCAACACCATCCACTAAGACTTGACGAGAGGTTTAACAAGCCATGCTGAGGTTCAGGAGCCAGCCGAGGTCCAGCTGAACACCATGGCCCAGGTGAGGAGAGGCTCTCTCTGACACACACACACACACACACACACATACATACACATACATGTAAATCCAGCCACAATGCATAGTTTACATGTGGCTGATTTGGATTTGGAAAGAGGACCGCTGGTACAGGCCTGCTGAAACACACACACAGAGTTCCGGTGAAGTTTCGTCCTCTCTGTCTGTCTTGCTGTCTCACACAACATGTTTGAGCACAGACATGTCCATACTAATCTATTATCTGTACTAGTACACAAGTCATACAACGTTTGCAGCAGTGTGGCACCATGTAATAAATGATCCCTGACTGCCTGATGAATGGCAGTCTGAGTTTCTTAGAGTTTGACTTGCTTCAGCACTCACAACCTATGGCCTAATAGTTGCATGGACACATTGCTGGATTGTCAACTGTACAAAGTGGGAAACAGTCTTAGAGACCTCGAGCGTCAGGGGTTCTCAAAGGCCGCTCAGTTTTCTGTATGGCAATGCTGTTTTCAGGGGAGAACAGAGTACCTCCTACTGGGTAGCTACTTCTGACCATCACTTGATGCTGATTGGTTAAATCTGATGAAAATAACTGCTGAGAGAGCTCAGAGAGAACAACATTTGTCATTTTTGCTGCCCTTTTGATGTCCTTGTCCCATAGCAGTCTCTTCATCTTCAATGGGAAGTTCTCCATACAGGCTGACTTAGCAAACCTTCACTCTTTTATTTGTTACGTGCTTAAAGAACTGTTCAAATCAGGATCTACTATTTGTTGTAGTTTTGTCCCACTCAAAGTAATATTGTGGATGAATTTGCTGCATCCTACATGATAGTAGAAACAGAAAGGCTGAAAAGGAGAGATTGTGAAAATGTTCGCACCACCGTGCACCTGCCTGTAGTTCCTGCAGTGGAAAGCTGCCTAATGACAAATGGCCATGGTATCATAGAATGATGTAGGTTGCAACGCCATAGAGTATTATTGTATAGTAACTGTGTTTTTTTTTTTGTTTTGTTTTTTTTACAGATTAATATAGCATTGGATATTAGCTGTCAGTTATGTACAGCCAGTTTCAGACATGGAATGCCTAAGACTACTGGTTAAATGTTGCAATCTGTTAAAGCGACAGCTTAGATTACTTTTATAGTCAACAAAAGAGTCTCATGCTGCATTTAGGCCATAAGCTAGCTTTTCTATTGTGATGTTCCGTTCCACTATTCTGGGAAATAAAATCTCTTGGGCTAATTTACCCAAAAAAAAACAGGAAGCTAGTTGCTAAAGCTAGCACTGACTCCAACAAGACAGTTTTGTTCATGTCATTTTAGCAGCTAAGCATCTGGTGGTAATGGTCTTTCCTAAATGTGTTCAGCAGTGGCATTATGTGTGTGAGTATATCATGAAACCATCCAACCTTGCCGCAAATAGCCGCTGGACGACTACTTGTTGGGTTGAAAGAATGTAAATGAAACAACAAACACAATATAACAGAACCAAATTGTAGTACTGAAATCAACAGAGGGTAGCTAAAATTTATGCTCCACTCTGGCATCATTATGTCCGAAAAACTAGGTATTCACAGTTTTGACCAAATAATTACACAAGTAAAGTACAAATGCCAAGTCCGTGTACAATATCTTATATTATCTCCTTATGTCTTTGAAAAAAATGATGTTATTTTTACCTGAAGTAGGGTCCAATAGCTCATTTTTGCCCCTGGGCCCTGTAGACTGTCTATTAAGCCCTGCTTGGACCTAAAGTTTACTTCCCAGGGACAGAAAATGGTTCTTTTGAAAACAGCAACCACCTTCTCATGCTTACTGGCAGCTTCAGTGGCATGCTACAGTTTTTTCATTTGTCTCTTAGAGAGGATCTCCTTTCAGTTGCCCACCTGATACAAGTCGTTTGGAGCAGTATTGTGGTCCAGTATGATGTATGGCGTGAATGGGACGGAAGTATCATTTTGTGGCCTTTAGGAGAAGATCTGCAGTGTACCACTCATAAAACTAGGTGTTGAAAGACGGTTATTTTTTGGTGCCAGTACCAATTATTAGTAATCAGAGAGACCAATAAAGCCCTGCAATGTACTGGCAACCTGTCCAGGGTGTCCCCTGCCTTCGTCCTAAATCAGCTGGGATAGACTCCAGCCCCCCGCAATCCTAGTGAGGATTAAGTAGGGTATAGATAAGGGATGGATGGAAGGAGACCAACAACCGATATAAAGTTGTAAACACTCCTTTTTTTTTTCTGTTAACCAGTGGCCAGTGTAACCAATCAGATAATGCTGTTGGTGGCATATTTCAAGATTCAAGAGGTTTATTGTCATATGTACAGAAAACCAGAAAGTTACACTGTACAATGAAATTCTTACTTTGCTGATCCTCCTTTACCAAAATCTACACCATGTGTAAGAACCTAAACCAGTTCTAAGTAAACAAGCTGACTTGGACTGACAGCAGCAGTGGTCATACACTGGTTTGTTTGTTGACAGTTCTCAAGACTGCACCACAGACAAACTAGCACATTCATTTCTTTCACTGCAAATTAGTTTAAAAAATGTTGAATATTAGATCCAATAATTGGACAGGCTGATAATCAGTCAACTCCTAAACAAAACAGTGAAATGAAGAGCAGAGTATTTTGGGCCTGTCTCTGTGAGGGAGAGGGCATCTCTCCGGGAGAAAGGAAGGTTGTGTATTTTTAGCCAAGCAGCTCAAGCAATGCAGTTTATCTTTGTGTGCCAGTGGACATTATAAATGTGTGATCTTTTCATAGTTTGTGACAGAAACAGAAAGTAAGGAGGTCCTCACTGTGTGTAGACATAATGTATCCTTTAAGACAGTGCAGCCGCTGTGTGTGTTCGTGTGGAACAGCTCATTCTACCCGCCAGCATAATGAAGAAAGTGTGCAGCTGCCCAGAGTGTGAGAGGTGCATTGTGTTTTTGGAGGCTGTGTATTTGTGTGTGTGGAAACTTCAGGATATCCTCTTTTTTTCTTTTGTGAGACAAAAACATCTACTGGAACTAATAGGAGACAAGCTGATGGCGATATTAGACTTTTACTACCTGTTTATTACCGACCAGCAGAGGTCAAGCCATTGTTGTCCAAATGCTAAGAGTCACATGATGCACTTTTAGACTTTTAAATATTTATTACTGGTGGTCTGCTTTAATTCAAACTGAACTTTTCATTAAATACTGTATTTTGATCTGATTCCATCTAAATGCATGCAATTAGATGTCTTCATTTTTGTAATACAAGTACATGTTACATTAAAGGTGTGGGTTGTTGTTTTGGGAAGTCAAGTATTTATGTAACCCTGTATTTTCTGGTTTGTTTCCTGACAGTAAACTAAATATCTTTGGGTTCTGAACAAACAAGACATTTGCGATCTTGAGCTTTGGGAAACACGAACATTTTTCATCATTTTTAGAGACCAAACCTTGACCTGACCTTAAAACCTGCCCTCATTTATTCTTTGCAGTCATGATACAGGGTACTCATGTTATTTATCCATGTTATTTATTCATGTACAGTTCTGCGTGTGTATGTGTACATCTGGATTTTGGATTTATGCCTGTTAGTGACCTATCGTGGGTGCTATTGATGTGAAGCATATATAACTGTAAGTGAATTGAAAACTCCCCATAATTAATTTAATCATTTGTCTAGGTGGGAGATCCCCATTCACAATGCAACACATTGGGTGTTCTATTTAGTATGGAAGCGTATAATAATTGAAGCAAAATAAACAACAGCGCCAGTTTTTAGGAGCATGCTGTTTTCAAACTGCAGTGTGAACTGTGACACAGCTGTAAAAGAACATGCACGCTTTACAAACCCTCCCTCGATAAAGGTTTAAAAATACACATCCTGTATTCAATGTGAAACAGCGGAAAGGGCTTTGTGAGCTCCATTCACCACACATGAGCTTCACTGTGTGACTCACTTAATGACTCACGCTGAGCTGACATGTCCTCGGCACCAAGTCCAGTTCAGCAGCGTTGCAGTCTAAAGCCTGGAGGCTTCTCCTGCAACCCCCCCTTTATATCTTCTCTCAATTGCACTGCATTGACCACTTGTGCCCTAATGGCCAGCGTGAGTGTGTTTGTGTGTCCTTTTTGAATGTGAATTTTACTCAGTGCACAGGCTCAGCCAGCTGAGGGATGAGCAGAGCAGCAAAGGAAACAAAGACAATAAGAGGGAAATTGGACAGAGGGACAGTTATACATGTTTGAATAGGTTCTTGGTTCCCCCAATTTAACATTTTTCAGCAGTGTATAAGCATTCAGTGAAGGGTTTATGACAAACTGTAATGCAGTAGTGAGTACATGTATTCATGTTATTATATTATACTGTATTAATCATGGTCTGGTGGATGTATGAGAGTCATATAAAACATGTCTTTGTAGAAAAAGTTAGAATTGTTGACAAATACGATATATTAATTTAAAAAAAAAGTTGCAGTTTTCTTATGTGTGCTTAAAGCTACATTATAATGGGCTATATCCCATTTAGAAATAATAGTTGTAGGTTCAGTGTCACCAGTTTTATTATTGGTTTGCAAACAGTAAGACTTTGTGACAACATGTTTGGATTGATGGCAGAGCAGCATTGTCTTTAAATTCTCTAAAGTGTCATAAAACCATAGTGCAAGATCAGTTTAGCTTTTCTAGAGTTCTGCGTCCCCTGTAGGTGGCACCACAGACAGATAGGTGACAAATTAAAGGAAAAACCTGAACTGTTCAGCCCGACAATGAGGGATCTGGTGGCCCTGTTATGCTGTGGGGGGGCATTTCACTGGCATGGTTTGGGTCCACATGTCCCCTCAGAGGGAGAGATCACTACAAACCAATACAGAGTAGCTTTGTGTGATCCTCTTTATCTTATGATGAAACACCACTATCTGATGGGAGTGCTCTCGACCAGGATGACAATGCACCAATCCAGAGGACACAGTGGGTCGCTGAATAGTTTCATTAGTATGAAAATGATGTGAATCAGATGCAAGGGTCCTCACACT